TTTGCGCCCATGGCGTACCCATAACGAAGGTAAGTTCGATGGGATTGGGCTAAGTTGATACCCGTCGAAAATCACAAGTGTAAAACAACAAGCTATCCAAACTAAGCTTGCTGACCAGAATCGTGAGAGACATTTACACGTAACAGTAAAAGAATCGGTGGGTCATGAACTGGCTGACGAGAGCTGAAACCTTCGTCCATTCATACACAAGATTATTTTCTTATATATGTTACTGTTCAAGCCGCTAATGAGTCCGTACTCGGAAATCTATGGTCTTTACCACATTACTGTCTAAGTCTCGGTCTGAACCTAAGCAACGACGTAGACTTGAAGCTGCAAGGGGACAAAACAAAAGCGTATGGTCAGCGATACCGGGATAGACTGAGCGATGATCCGGCAAAACTGTGGTATTACCGGCTTTCGCTGAACAGTGAATCAGATTCAGTCGACAAGAGCATCAACGGATTACCACTTTGGTCCATAATATATGGTACAGATAAGCAAATGGTCGTCCTTGTTTATGCAACCAGCGACATCATATCTCTTTGAACTATTACATTTGAAAATATTTTTAAGACACTAGCTGCATATTTTATGAGAGCGTAAAATTGTTCATTGCGAAGATGTTCCAATGACTTACTCTGCATTACGTACATGAAATTATTAAAGTCATAATCATCAGCCTTTTCAATCCACTGTTGAAAGAAAGCGTCTCCAAGATCTTATATACTTATGGCTGCTGTGCCTCTTGTGCAAGTTCATCCAACGAATTTCTTCAGCTCATTCTGTCATCGATATGGAGGTCTTCCTGCAGACCGTTTACTGTTTAATGTCTCCTTAGTCGAACGACGGTTCGCTCTTTGCGCAGCGTGTCCTGCCCATTGCCATTTGAACTTTTCCGCTCGAGCAATGACGCCGGGGAGATCCATGACTGTGCCCTTACCCATTTGCTAGTACTCTTATTTCTCCTCATTATTCCTACATACGCTTTTAAATACTGGGTTGCTTAGTTTGCAGTTCATTGATATATTACAAGCATACGGTACAAATTTCGCATCCATGCGTTAGCACAGGGAGCACACAATGATAGATTACCTTCTGTCTGAAATACAAAGACAGTCTCCTGGAAGGAAATATATTACATCCTTACAAAGAGGTTCCATGCCGTTTTCACTGTCTTGTTGATTTCACTAAGTCAGTTCTCCGCTGCAGAGAAGAGCTGTTTCAAACAGACGCAGATTTGCACCTCTTTAAGTCCCAGTCCACTAATTTCAACAGATCGAAGGGTCTGTAAGAGCATTTGTTAAATATGATGTGAATCTTCTTCAGGTTCATGCCCAGCGTGGCTTTATGCTGGCACCCTTTAGCCTTTGGATTCTTCTCTGGACTGACATGAAATATAATCATGTATAAATTTGTGAAATGACGTGAACATGATACGTAAAGGCCTATGCGGATCAAAACGAACCGCCTGTGGCAGACGACCTCAAGTCCCCCTGAATACTGCCACCAATTTTACGTTGAACAACGGTCATAAGAATTAAGTTCAGAAAGACATCAACCTGCTCTCAACATTAACAGAGAAACACTGAGAAGGTATGAGTCCTTGAAAAAAAATGCAAATTATATGGAGTTTCCCAATAGTTCATTGTATGCCAAAGAACAGGTTTCGAAGGTTCCGCTCAACAAATATTTGTCCATGTTTTGAACGGTTCCGTTATTCGTCCGTTTGTTATAAGTTAAAACTTGGTAAGATCCCATCATCCGGGAGTCCCACAGTTTTGCCATGTGTTGAAATAAATTGAGTTATGTAACATTTCAAGACTACTAACGAACGAACCTTCTAGTTTATTTTATGGCAAGAGAATTAATTATACGAATCTTTCGTTCGGTCGTCAGAAATCTGGTCTCGGACGAGTTACGCGATGTTTAATATTTGTCGGCGTATGAAGATACTTTCATTTTTATGCGGTAGCATACGAGGAGTACCAGCTCCTGAAACATCGATTGTGATGAGAGCGAGGAAGTTCTAGCGGACAATCGGACGTGATGCGAGGTGCATCTGGCACTGCAGATGTTCAATTACTATGGAGCCGTGGGCTGTTTCAGTGGTTGCATTAAGCAACTAGGCGCAAACGAGTAGGGTGCTACAAAAATAAAAATTATCATAAGAATCAAGCATAATTTAATATTCAGTTTGCTGATCGGTGATTCGAGCCCAATTACAACGGAAACCGCAATGAGCAAAAATCTTCCACTGTTCACAATCGCGTTTCTTCAGCGTAAGTACATAACAGCAGTATACTGCGATGTCGCAGCTGTTTGTCACTGACGAAATCCGTCACAATGAAAAGTCATCGCTTTGTGGGGGCGGAGGGATCACAGATGGTTAGAAAGTCATGAATCGATGAAATTTTGATTCTGATTAATTAATTTTTTTGCAAATGTCCATCCACAGTAATTCTTAAAACAGATGGTGTTTCTTCCGAAGAAGTTGCAAGCAGAACGAGGTTTAAAGTAAATTTCTTAAAGCGAAGATACGTTCAATTCTTGGCCAAGAATCGAGAATGGTTTCAAAAGTCATTTCATCAGCATGAATTATGGTTTTATGACTTGTTTTTTATGGTTTATTAATTTTATAATTTCTACAAAAAAACTGGGCGAAAAGAGGGGTGGCTGTAAAAATTAAATCAACAGGTCAACAGTGATGCGTAGCATTTGAAAAGAGGCTTTCAGAAAGCGCACAGGACGGTTTGAGGTCGCAGCGACGGCGACGGCGGCGGCGGCAGCTGCTGCGGAGAAATGTGTCTCGCCGTGTCTGAACTCGTGCACATCTGTGCGTTCGCTCCAGGTACACGTAAGAAGCAAAACAACGGCGAGAACGAACGAGTGACAAGTGACATAATTGCCTCTCGCCTAGGCACTGTGTCTGGTGCCATGGTAATGGTACCGGTCATTGATTGTAGCACCGGTCGAAGAGTCAATAGTTCTTTTTTTGAATGACAATGAAGGCGTAGAAAAAAATGATAAAAAAACACAACGAATCAATAGAGGTGATAC